CCTCAGCCATCTCAATTTTTGGGCCCCTCCTCTGTCTCTGCCCTCTCCCACTGTCTCAGGAARCAAATCCTGTCCCAGCTAAAGCTGCTTCTGAACTGCAGCAAATTTTRGGAAAACCTCTCTAGCTCTCCATCCCAAACTGAATTTCTTCCACTACCCTACTTCAAGTCACGTTGAAAATCACACAGTGAGATTTGCATAGTTTAATTCTTCTGTTAATCATCGATTAATTAAAATCTGATTGAGACTTTGACCAGTMGTTTGCACTTGAATTTGAAAATCAGAACAATTTTTTTTTCGGTTTTAATGTGTTAATTTACATGAGCTGGGCAAAGAAAAAACTCTTTGTATCAAAAGCTGCTGCTTGTTATTCCAGCCATGCTTTGCCTTCTCAGGCGAGACAATAATTATTTGCCATCTCACCAGTGCYTGAGCTGAAAGGAAGATAAGGAGAGGGAATATTTGCACTGAAATTGCCCAGTCTGTGCCATCTCTCCACTGCCTTTTCCCCCAATTGCTTTATTTTGAATATCTACAAGGATATATTCTCTAATCCAGATGGTAATAAAAACAGCATGTTTCYTGTGCTGTCTTTTAATTGTGATTTCCTTAATGAGAGATCCCAAATGCTGAGGATTAAAATCCTTTTTTTTCCTACTTTTTGGGAATTTCAGTTTTTAACTGCACTGTCTGCCAGAGCAGCACAAAGGACATTGAGGTTCTGGCAGAACAGAATCATTTTCAAAGCTCAGTGAAAATGTGACAGATGAAACAGCAGCAATAATAACACAGAATGTTCTGTCAATGGAAATTTATATTTAAAACTCGCACAGAGGAACATTTTTCTATCTCAATACAAAAATAAAACATGTCAGTCAATGCTGAGTGATATTCTGTGTTATTTCATAGATTCCACTTGCAAGGAGCTCGTTCTGCAGGAGCTGCATTGATAACATAGCAAATTAAGGAACTTTTATCACTTCTGGCATTTCATGAAACAATAGTTTTATCAGCTGGAGGGAAGATGAGTGTACCATCCTTGCACTGAATTTTAATTTGCTTTAAAGTGCTGTGTTTTAAAGTTAGTGGGTGTTATTTTGTACTGAGTTAAGTTTCAGTGAGGATTTGTTTAAAATGACAGTTAAAGACATAGAAAAGCTTCAMCATAAAGAATTTATAACAATAATAAAACTTTACATTCTGAAGGATCCCATGTGTGAGGTGATGGAATTTTTAGATGCTGCATTTTGAGATTGGGTACTTCTGGAGATCATTTGTATGGCCCAGAGCCAAAAAGAACCCTAAATTAGGTTATATTAAGAATAATAATAAACCCCAGCAATTTTAACGAGAAAAAAAATTGAGTATTTTCATTGAATAAGACACACAAATAGGTTTTAATTTTGCCACTGCAATGAMTGAGCTAGAAATAATTTTGCAAAATTAAATGCAGATTTAGACAAATCAATGGTGTATTTGAAAAACTTGTAGTATGAGGAGATGGAAGAG